CATGTTCCGCAACAGATCAGGGGAGCCAACCTTCTTTTTTTTCACTATTTTCACTTCTTTCATTAGTTTCATTAGTTTCATTAGTTTCATTAGTTTCAATTCCTGCATTTCCTGCATTAGTTCGTTCCATCTTGCTTAACTGAACACAGCCCTGCGATCGGCTCGGATGACCGTAATTATTTCTTAGTTTAGTAACTTATCGAGCTTCAATAAGCTTTATTTATTGTAAAGTTCTACCAGATGGCAGTACTAGTGGCTCACATAAACATGGCTTCACCTTTTTTCGACAACGCTCCCTCCTTTATCACCATGTTCTCGGCCTGGACTCGTGCGCCCTCTTCTACCATCGCCAAGAGGCGTTGCAACTGCGCCTGCGCTTCCTCGTTGGCCATTTCCATGAGCCGTTCATCCTCTCGTGCGCGTTGCTCCCTATCGTGTTGGCTGTCCGCCAATCGGATTTCGCCTCGCGAAGGCAGTTTGTCCGACGGTTGCAAGTGCACACAGTAGTGTTATATATTTCTCATTATTTATTTTGCAATCTGTAATAAAAACAAGCGTAATTATATTATCTAATTTTGATATACTTGTTTATATCGTGTGTTTAAATGATTTATAATTTGTAATTATTTATAATTTAAGATAGTTCGCAATGGAGACCAAAATAATTAATCAAAAAGCATACTTGGAGAGATATACGTCTTCAGGAGTTAACGAAGAGAAGAAAAAGCTCAAAACGGGAAAACAAACGTGAGAAACGATCTATTTCAATTTGTATAAGCAAATAATGTTTTGCTTTGAGATAAAGGTTAAATTGAATTTTGAGGTTACACATGTGTGTGACACAACATATATAAAAAGTTTTGGAATGATTGTTTTATATACAAACAATATACTATAAAATACGTTAATTTGTGATTACATTCACGTCATGTTCATATAGTCAGATTTATATCATAATTCTGAATATAAAATTATATAGATGTGTTCGTATACTTTTTACTATTTAAAACTTTTGAACTCTTCAAGTATAACTAGAAAACATTTATTTCTTGTTATACTTGTTTGTTCAAGTTATTTATGCAAGTTTAAAAAACACGGTTATTATCAGACTTCCATGATATTTTACAGGAGGATTGTTTTATAGGTGATTGATTACAAAATAGGTTAATGTTTTTTTCAGAGTAAAAATTATAGACGATGGAGAAGACGCTCCCCAAATTGCTGGCATAGTCGATGATCGTGGACCAGTTGACTTCACNGACAAAAGAAGATGGAAAATCATAAACGAAGACGGAGATTTAACTGTCATTAATAATTNGGATTTGAGTCCACCTAGATTTAAGCATTCTAAAGAAAAAAAACATAAAGATTCAAATTTAAAACAAGCTCACGATAATGATTCCGATTTGAGTCCGCTCAGGAAATCTAAAAATTATGATTCGGATCAAAGTCCACCTAGACAAGCTCCAATTCTACGTGACAAAGAGAGCGGAAGAAAGCGCAACTTGGAAGCGGAAGCGGCGGAAAAATATGAACAGGAAAAACGTCAAAGAGAAGTAAATGAGCAATACGACAAATGGGGCAAAGGGTGAGCGATTATTTTTTTCATATTTCATCAAACTTTGCACACTGCCGTTAATATCTTACCGTTGATTTTCTTTAATTGTTGAAAATTTGGTTCCTTTTAGTCTGAAGCAAATAAAAGATCGTGAGGAAAGGTTACAGGACGATTTATACGAAATGAGTAAATCGTTAGCAAGATACGCGGATGACGCAGATTTGGATAAACAATTGAGAGAAGA